ATTTGCGCGTGAGGTTTATTAGTACAATTGAATATAGTTGGAGCGTAAAAAAATACATCTGAGGAGTTAAATAAAAATGTTTTTTCTAAGTTATCTCATGCAGAACAAAGTTTTTTCGGTAATAAAAATTGTATTTTAGCATTTAAAGTAAGGAAATTTAAAAACATTTGTCAAAAATATCAAACAATTTGTCTTGTAAGAAAATATTTCCATGGGGAAAAATCGATGTGAATCAAGAAAAAATATTTTATAAGATTATTTAATAATAATCTTATCTGTTTTATTTTACATTTTTTATTTAAATCAATTGTTATTTATATACGGTTGTAATTCAAAGTAGTAGTAATCCTTCTTCAAATTCTGAATTAAATATAAATATGCTAATAAGTATTTTAGAATTTTAAACGAATCGATCGGATTTAAATTTAAAGAAAATTCTATTTGTTTTAATCATCGGATTAAATCATCGAGCATAAAATAAACACCATAAAAATTTTATATAAATTCTTATTATTATTTTACGTAAACATCTTTAAAAATTGGTTTAATTCTCTTTAAAAGAGTCACATAATTTTTATTTTCTTTTTAAAATATAATTTTTCATTATAATTACTTAAAATGTGAATATTTAAACACCCAACAGATTAGAAACTGCCGAAGATAAACATTCTGGTGATGTTGCTCCTTAATAGTTTATCATCATTAGAACCAATAAATAGTCGGCCAGGTTAACTATTAAGCATAGAAAAGAAAGATAACTCAATTTAACAATTTAAAAATTAAAATATTTAATCAATTTAAGGATAAATAAATTCTCGTTTTGACCGTATACAGCAGGAAAAAATGGTGTGTTAATATACTCAAATTAAGAGAAATGTTATCCTTTTCAAACAATTCATTCTTATATAAATTAAATGTTATATTATTATTATTATTAATTTAGTATATTTATGTATGTCTATATTTTCAGCTAAGTTAGATGCTGTTAAAATTTATATGAGGATGCGTAGAGTAAACGATAATCTTCAGAATAAAGTCATTAAATGGTTTGATTATTTGTGGATGACGCAAAAGTCTTCGGATGAAGACAGATCCGTCGGTTGTTTACCAGATAAATTAAAAGCAGAAATAGCTATACACGTACATTTAGATACATTAAAACGGGTGGAAATCTTCCAAAATACAGAGGCTGGTTTCCTGTGTGAATTGGTGCTTCGTTTGCGTCCGGTGCTCTTCAGTCCTGGTGATTATATATGCAGAAAAGGTAACACTTTAAATCATTAAAAGCGCTAATAATAATTATTATTTTAATTATAATTATAATAGAAATCTCATCCTCCGGCAAAAATTTAAAATTTAAAAGTGTATATATGTTTTTTACTATAGATCCTGTCGAACAAAAACCTTATTTTTTATATCAATCCAAATTAGGTTTGGTCACTTCTTTCCCCTTTAGGAGAAGTTGGTAAAGAGATGTACATAGTAAACAGAGGGAGGCTACAAGTTGTCACAGACAATGGAAAAACCGTACTAGCGACTCTTAGAGCTGGAAGTTATTTTGGCGAAATAAGTATTCTGAATATGGGAACGGCTGGAAATAGAAGAACCGCATCCGTACGTTCTGTGGGATATTCTGATTTGTTTTGCCTATATAAACAAGATATGTGGGAAGTCCTTAAAGATTATCCTGCTGCCAGAGTTCGACTGGAGGCTATTGCTGTCAAACGTCTAGAGAAATATAAAAAAGAACCTCTGCGTAAAAGTAAGTATCTTATAAATATTTATTAAATCAAAAACATGTAAAATCTTTTATAAATATTATTGTTTTAAAATCTATTATTTAAAAATTGAAAAATTTATTATTTTTATGTTAAATTTTATTAGTTACAGATGATAAATATTAAAAAGTTATTGTTTTTTAACTTGAACATTCGACTAATTTTAAGGATGTTTAAGTTCTAATTAATATTTTTGAAAAAGCTTTAAAAATTTAAATAATAAACTCTTCATCCAATGAAATATTTTTTATTTTTGTGATACAAAAACATTAAAAGAAGTACATGAATTTTTAACAATAGATATACGACATCTCATCAATTTTTCCATCTTTCAAATTGATCAAAAGGTGAAGAGATGAAAGAACCTTTCTTATCTGATATAACTCGAAATAAAATCAAATTATCTTATTAAAAAATCCGAAAAAAATGTATATTTATGTAAAGAAAACATTAAATTTTATATTTTTATGCACAATATATTTTTATTAATTTGTTAATTACTATATTTAAATTAAATCACTGGTTAAGACTCATCTGGCATATCTACCTTTCAGATAACTTGGCTCCACCAATATGTCCAAGAACTAATTCTGTGGCATTCTTGACCAATGGTCAGTGGTCATTTAATTCTTTCATTAAACTTAATAGCGAGACACATTTGCACTTTGCACTTTAAAATATTCAAAAATTCAAATTAGTAAGGGGGAAACCTATTAAAATTTATTTTTAATTACTTTTTTGCATCATTAGACTGAGGTCAGAACTTGATGTAATTTTGAATTAACCAATCGTAATATTTTATCATTCAAATTATCTAATTAAAATTTGCGCGTGAGTTCTGGCTTCAATATTTAAACTTTTATAATTTGGTTATTATCGAGTGAAGCAAACATTAAATAATAATTCGTTTTTAACTTTTTATTATAATAGACTATAAAATACAGGATGAATCGTTAAAAATAAATGAAAGATGAAGTAGAGAGGGTAAAATCAAGCAATCAATACAGGTGGTTCTACGCTTAACAATCGCGATACGAATTGAAACATTTACATTTGTAAATTACTTTGATTGGTTACAGGATTATTTGACGAACGTGTTACGTTAAAGAATGACGTGTTCGATTAGTTGGGATAGTGTATAGTACATTTTTACGTAAATATGACGTTATTCTATAGGATTTCTTTTGTTTTAAATAAAGTGATAACGTTAAATTAACGTAAATATACACACTATTCTATCTAAACGAACAGACCCAAAATTTGCATATATTTGAGCATTATAATTGAGCAGATACAGTATATGTGGGTTTGTAATCAATGAGAAATAATTTATTTGATTTTATTTTCTCAGTTTTGTCCCTCATTTATTTGACAATTAACGTTTTATCCAGTATATTCACTATATTACATATTTAATTTTATAAATGGAAAAATTAATGAAATGGTATTTAAATTTTAATATTATTTATTTAATAATTTTATTATNTATTAGTATAGATTAAGGATCCGGTTTTCAGCCATCTATCCATCTTAGAGACGCCGAAATTCCTGTTGTAACACACGAAATTATTCCATAAGCTACTTGCAATTCGCAAATCACGATTAGAAAAACTAAAACTGTCCTCATCTTATACGTTAAAAACAGAAAGACTTGTCAAAGAAAGCGAATAACGATACAAGCAGCGAGGAGCCGCAACAGCCTGGCGGCCGGATGGCCGAGCGGTCAAGATGACGGCCAACAGCTTTGGAGACGCGGGTCAAAAAATCCCCAGGAATTTTTCGGGGAGTAGTCCGACCGGATATGTCGGCCCCGTCCCTCACCACCCGGTTGCTCCATATTGTGGGTCTGGCCGAACCCATAATGGGCTTGCTAAAAGCGGCCCTCTTAGTGCCCACGGTGAAAAAAGCAAAAAAATCACACAACAACACTTCAATCTAAATATATAAAATTACTTATCCTGACTGACTGATTGATTCTTCATCGTCCAGAGCAAACCGCTGAATCTAAAGAGGTGAAATTTGATACACAGTTAAGGTACGTCATGAAAACGCACACTAATAAAGGATTTTTCGAAATTCCCCGCGGGGGAGAGGGAGAGGATTAAGGCTTAACCTGAAGAACGGCTTCTAATGTACTATTTTAGATGCGATTTTTTGTTTTTAACTACATTTAGTTTTCATTGAGTACTTAGATGTTGATAACCTTTCAGACATTGTTATAAATATTTTTATATATTTCGATTTTTTAACCAAATGTTCGACCGTTTTAAATTCGAATTTTTTATTGCATATTGGTTCGATTATAGAACGATTGTAAACTTTCCAGAAAATTGATTAAATTGAAAATAGTTCGTTTGATTCTCAGCAATTCTCATCATTCTCAGCAGTAGGTGTTATATAACAATTACCATGGTTGTTGAAATACAGTACTGTACTGAATATAAATGGGGTTTGCTTGCAAAATCCGCGCGGGTGAAGTCGCGGATAACAGCTAGTTAGTAAATAAATTTAATGGAGGAAATTTGTTTAGTAATAATATAAAATTCATAAATTATAATAAATTTTACTTTATTATAAATTTATTACTTGCATTTCAGGAATATATGTATAATTAATGTAGGCTTTTACATACATTAACATTAAACAGAATTTATTTTTAAAGTACTATAGTAAAAAATTATCGTCTTTATTATTTTTGCAATACGCTCTTCTTCTTTTCTTAATCTATCGATTAATAAAATCCCTGATTTTTTTAAAGAAAGAATTTATTATTAGCACATTATAATTTTATAGTTTTTTCCTTTACTAGTTTCCAAGCTATTTCAATTTCTTTTTTTAACGGATCCAAGAGCACTTTTCTGTTATTCTTTTTAGTTGCAATGGGTCGCAGTCGCAGTACTCCCGGCCTTGTTGAATCTCGTGGTAAAATACCATTGGAAGAAACCCAATTAGGCCCAACAGATGTTTGTTCTTCCACAGCAACTATGTTATCCGAAACTGAACCTCCCGTTCCTCCAAGAGATACCAATAGTCCTTCAACAATGCGAAGACGTCGAGGAAGTAGCAATTGTAGTGCCTGCAGTCGAACCAGTAGTCAACAAGATGAAGATAGAACTAACCATTACTACGAACCTTTGGGAAGTATGCCACATATAATTTATCCACATAATATGCAAGCTTATCCCTTAGAACCAGGTTTGGATAGACGACTAGTAATTAGCAGGCCTTCAATTTCACAGACTAATCTGCTATCCCCGATGCCTTCTTCTCCTTATTATCCTCAATCTCCAATTCCAACGACGCGAGAAGTATCGCCACTTACAGATTATAGTCCTATGAGTGGGGAGCATCATCATCATCATCATCATCATCCTTATGCGCTTATGCCTCCCCACTTTCCTCTTTCTATATGTGCTCCACCGGCACCTCCACCACCTCCTACATTGCAAACTAGTCAAATGCCCAGAGAATCCAGCCAAGAGGCCTTACTGGCTGAAATCAAAAGACTTAGAGAAAGATTGGTCACCCTCGAAGCTGAGAATGCAACGATGAGTGTTAAACTAAGCCAACAGCAATGGGAAGTAGAGAATAGATTGGCAGAGATAGAAATGCAGATTTGTGGAGGAACTAACACCCAGATACCTACTAGTGGTGGTAATAACAGTAACGGTGACGATAATGAAAGAAACAGAGAATCCATTATATGAACTCCCTGCACAATGATGAGATAATTTTCCATCTGTGATTGAAAGAAACAAAAATTTTAATGGAAAAAAATTTCATCAAAACATAATTCTGTGATAATATCTATGTTAATTAATTGTGCAAACTTGATGTTTGACTCCTACGAGATTCCTGCCAATCAGATCTCTAAAATATTAAGAAATAAAGGAGAAAACAAGATAAATTTATTTATCTGAATTAAATAGTCCAGGATAAAAAAAAACTATAAAAAATTTGTTTTGAGATGTCTAGACATATCATAGGTGATTAAGTATTGTTTTTCTTAACATATATACATATATATTTTAATTATGTTAATATGTTTAAAATGCACATTTACAACTCTCTTTCTCCTGTTGCTGAATTTATTTTCTTATTATAAAAAGTGAGCATTTGTATTGTACGTAATACGTATTTTTAGAATTATAAAATATTCTATTTATAATAATTTAAGATTTGTAAATGATTGGAGTGTACAATCTTCAGAAAAATGAAGGTACAGTACCTCTGATTGNGGCAAGTTTATTATAACAATAAATTTATTTTAAGATGATTAAACTGTTTTTATTTTACAACTTGTCTACAACTTTACATACTACCGATAGGCATACAAACAGCATCTCCGAATCTATTTAGTGTAAGAAAATAAAATTTTAGGAATGTGTTCTAATTTTATTACGTTATTTTTAACATTATTTTGTTTCAAAATTTTACCTTTTTTCAGGCTACCCTATGACTCTTCGCCATAGGGTACTATAGAGTCATTTAAACATGTAATCAAATTAAATAATATTTTATAAAAAAAATATTATAAATTCATCCTTAACATAAGTATCGTTTTATGATCAGATTTTATATATTATTACAATCAAACCTCTAAACGACGACCACTGACAGAACATAAAAAATGGGCGTTGCTCGGAGGTGGCCGTTGTTTGGAGGTTCGTCCGGATGCATTTTGTTCTTGAAAACTGCTCGCTGTTTACAGGTGACCATTGCTGGGAGGTGGTCGTTACTGGAAGATCGACTGTATACAATTTTTATAAAATTAAATTAAGTGAAAATATTATTACTGATTAGTTTTCTTCAGCTTAATTTTATTCTTAAGCCAAGATAATAATACTAATAAGACAATTAAATTATTCGTGGCTTTGATGAATAGAAACAATTATTACTAAAATAAAAGAAATAAAGCAAAAATTTGATGGATATTCTTTCTTAAAGAGAAAATCTGGAACAGAAATTTCTAAACCTTTGAATTCATCATATTGCTTTTTAGATATGAAACAATAATAAAAATGGAAATATAAATTTTAAAATTTTATTTAATATTTTGTACTTTTCATAAACTGTCTGAGAATCTAGGTTAAAATTTTCTTTTAAATATTTAGTTTTTAAACGAAACTTTTAAAGTTTTACATGCAATAAAATGAGTAATTTTGCTTCACCTTTCTATATTCTATTTTCATAAATTCTTAAAACAAATTTTAACGTTCTGGAGACATAAATCGACACTTTTATAAGTAAAATATTTTAATGAAACGTTTAACCATATTTTTCATGTAAGTTTTTAATAAAAGTATTCTATATCTACCCGTAATTTTTCCATTTACAAAACATCGATTTCTACTTCATACTGATTAAATATCTTACATAAATTAATAGGAACCTCTTCTGAGTCCATGTATGCATCAATTGGAATTCAAAATAAGTTTAACTTTATTTACGATCTTAATATATTTTTATATATATCTCATTAAACACTCATATAATATGTTAACGTATCTCACAAAAGCAATTACAATGCCTTTTTCAATCAAAGTTAATTAAATTTATAAGTAAGTCACTTATATAAATATTCATATGCCATTATGTTCTGATATACTAATTCCTTTTCGCACTTTAATTATCAGATTTCTTAATAATAAACAAGATGATTTAGACTAGAATAAGTCAATACTAGGCCCGGATAGATGGAGCATTTAGTCTTATCCCGGACACAAGGTACTTCCAAAAACATATCTTTTATGTAAAAACATGTAGAGTGATGTAAATTAAAGCTTCTTTTGATAAGAGACGAAAACTTGCTTTATTGATTTTATTTATATATTCTTGTGTCTTTGGTAGTGGAGCGGGTATAATATAACTTAACTAGTCTGGGTTCTTTCTGTTCTTGTTCAGTACTAATTCAATCGATATACATCTACGAGTATCAATTTGTATACATATATCAATCCTAAAAATAAAATGTTTTCTGCTCAATCTTCAATTTTATACTTAAAATTTTATATAAATCTTTATCATCGATTAAATTCCGATTAATATTTCTATTGTTGATATCAATAATATATTAAAATATTTAATTACAATTATAGTTTGTCATGTAAACTACTGTATAATAATTATTACATTTATATATATACTGTATATTTTTTTCCATTACTTCGTACACTTCCACAGAAACAATTCTCTTCAGATGAAGAGATTTTTATAAAAATATTCATAAATTAAATAATTTTTTTAAATTTTAATGTAAACAATTACTAGATGTTTTTTATTATCTTCTGTACTTCCGTAGACACAGTTTTTCTTCAGATGAACACAATTTTATAGATTATTCTGAGTAAAATTGATGGAAACAGTTCAATGTTAAATCATTTATAATTCTCACTTTGTATTTTATGGTATCCAACTTATAGCGTGACATTATAAACTATTTTAAATAGTTATTTTAACGATTTTTATGTTACTATTATAAAAAGCAAGATTGTATTCAAGATTGTAAAGCAAGCAACATCTATTCTATGAAATTCTGACATTTCTATTTTATTTCTCTACACAACTTCAATTTATTTTCATTTTTCCTATCAAAAATTTTTAAAAATAATAATAATGTATATAAAATCTAATTTCAATTGTAATTTAATACAAAAATATAATATATATATATTAATTTATAATATTTAATTCACATCTCACTTCCATACCAATATAGAATGGTTTGTTCTTGTAAAAAAAA